TCTTGGACACCGCTATAAACCTGTAAAGGATCCCTGTAGCTGTGTCGTTGTTATAGTACTGCTGTTAAGAAGGCCACGGTACTGTAACAATATAAAACGAATTTTAATACAAGAGTATGCTCAACCACTTTATGAAATGAAAAATCATCTTTTTTCTTATAGAATTTCAGGATGGAGAAAAAGAAAAAATCTTTGGGGTCCAAACCATTTTTCTAATCTTCAAACTATAATAGAGTAAAAAAAGACAAAAGATGCAAAAAAGCTAAAAACTTTTTAAAGTAATCATATCTTTATCTTTTTGTCTAAATTAAGAGGCATATAGTAGTTATCAAGTTACCTTATCTGTTATATTGTTGAGATTGAACATGCGTGTCCAGGTCAGGGACCTGAAAAAATATTGATTTATTTAGACCAATATAAATCAATATTTTTAGGCCAAATTATAGAAAAATTAATATTTTTGCAATTTTTAATGTAGTATAACAATACCAAATTTAGGCCAAATTAATAGCATAATTTTGGCCAGTAATATAAATTTGGCCAGCCTGAGTTATTGGAATTTTTCAGATCAACAAACATAACAAAAAGTAAATATTTGAAAAATTTCATTATAATCATATTACTCTGAAACTTGTATTCTGATTGGTTCGATTATGTAAATCAATATAAATCGATATTTTTGACCAAATTGATAGATATTTTTGCTAAAACAAATCAATATTTTCTTAGGTCCCTGGTCCAGGTTAGTAATGTAGCACAGTAATTATGTGATGTTGTAACCTTGGATCACATTCTACCAACTTGAAATATTCTATATTAGTTAATTAACTATAATAAGTAGAATTTTATTTCAATCCATTAGTAGCTTACATGAAGATATTTCTAAGATTATTAGGCACTATATCAATGATGTAAAAGGTGCTTCTATAGTTATTAACAGCTATCTTCGTAAAGGTGAGTTTGTTGTATTTGATCTTACAAGGCCAGAGAATGATCCTTTTGCAATTCAACTAAGGTTTAATTCTTTACTAAACCTGCAGAAGAAGATAGAGGCAAAGCAGAAGCACAAGAAAAAAAGTACTTTAGTTAATAAATAGAATTAGTTAAATTGTGAATTCCCTATTTTCTTATAAATTCGAAAATAGAAAAAAAAGTAATCAGAAAATTTTTTAGATAAAATTTCACAAAACTCTTTACTTTGAAATAATTTATTTCTGAGGAGGGATGATTTGTTTGTTTACAAACTTTCAAAGCATTTAATTATATTACTGATTATAGATAAGAAAATTATAAGTAAATATACACTTTATAGGTTTTTATTTTATATTGACAGTGGACAACTATAAAAAAATAAATTATTATAATAAATATGTAATATTTATTTTGATATCAAATCTATGCTCTGAAAAATCCAGTACACATACTCACAATTATTGTTCGAATCTAAGAAATTTATATTAATTTCTTCTCCTAAAATATAAAGATATTTAGTTTTGAAATAGTTGATTTTTAGTAAATCGCATGGATATAATTTGCCATGCATTTTATATATGTAATGCGTATACTCTAATCTTCTAACAATTCTTTCATTACCAGATTCATTAATATGGTAATATTCAGGATTCGATAGCCATTTTAACATATAAATCTATCCTGAATATTCAACAACTCTATAGTCTTGCTGATGTAATACTATAAAAGCAATTATATATGATACAAGACCTAATCGTTCATGTAGCTAATCTTTTTTTTTATTTACCTTAGTTAATATATGATAACTAGGAGCTTTTTTAACATGAATATTTATATCTAAAAACTTCTTCTCATTAGGAATGTCATCATTTTTTACCATATTCCAAACCTGTTTTGCCCATATTCAGGTCTTAACTTGAAAGCTTTCCAAGCTCATTAGATAATTTTTATATTATTAAATAAGGAATAAGCAATTTTCTTTCTAAATTTATTCTCTGTATTATATATATGATAACCATGCTGTGGATATATAGAATAATTCATAAAAATCTCATCAACCTTATCAGAACTAAGTAATGACATGTTTCTTTCTTCATTTTTCTGAATAAGATTAGAATGTGCAAAATGCCTTTTAGCTGTTTTAGTAATGCATTCATTCAGGTGATGATTGGCATATTTGATAATATTTTTACAGATAAACACCAAGGTGTTACATACAGTGCAATAAATATTAAATAAGCATCTCTCAGCTTTAAATTTCCAATCTATATATACTTTTTCAACTATTTGGATAAATCTATTCTTGAAGAAGTATTTTAGGTTGTTTGATAGAAGTGTCTTAAATAGATAATGAATATGAGAACATCACATTTCTGGTGTTTCATCACTATATCTATATTGCAAATTGATTAATGCCTATAATATGGCAGGATTTAAATCAAAATAGTTAGTTTTAACCATTTTGCAAGTATAGTGATAATATATATAGCAATTTCACTGATTTTATTGATTTATAGCAATTTTAATAACTTATAGTAATTTGTAACAAGTATATGATAATAAAATATTGGATTTATTTTTATTCAAGAGAGAAGGAAATATATACTTCATAGATTTTTATTGCACATCGCCATTTTTCTACCTGTGTTGGAAGTAGATAAAAAATTAATATAAAATATGTTCATATATGTGTAAACAAATTGTTTATGCCAATCACTTAATTGTGATCTTGCCTTTTCACAATTCTTGCTTGAAGTCAGGTATAGTTAGTTAACAGATTTTTAGTTTCTGAAACAGTTAACTATATATCTTTTTTTGAGTTTGTAAGAAAAAAGGAGAATAGCATTAGAAAAATGATAGACAACTAGTCATTTTTGGTTTCATTTTTTTACTAACTGAGTTAGAAAGATTTGAAGCTTCTTATTGTAAAACTAGATTAAAATATATACTTATATAAATTTCGAGGTAGATATTTTCAAACTATTTCTCATCTCGTAGCTCAGTGAACTAAACTACAAGAAGCTTATTGGGTCTTTCTCTTCTCACTACATAGACAATTATAGTCTAATAATCATGTCCTTTATAATAGTGTTTTTATAAGATATAAAGAAAAAATAAATAGAAAAAATATATAATATGCTTTTAAAGAAAAGAGTATGCAGATCCTAAACTATTTAATATGAGTTCCTGCATCATATTATTTCTCTATACATAATACACATAGTCAGAGGCCCTATCACTCTGCCTTCTTGCAATACTTGCTCGAAGCCAGATATATTTAGTTAACAATAAATTTTTAAATATATATATAATATATAAACTATATATCTTTTTTCGAGCTTGCAAGAAAAAATGTAGTAGAAATGAAATTTTTTGCATAACTATTCCTAAGAAAACTATATTATTAAAAAACAGCTAGATTGAATATTTTTGTGAAACAAACAAACTGCTATTACCAAAGCACTGAGCCTTTTGCTTTGTTGAAGCAAGAAGATTGTGCACATGTTCAATCACACAACTTACCAAAGCAAACTTGTGTCAAATAGTTATAGAAGTCATCTTATTAACACAAAAACAATCTAACGAAAAAAGAGATGCAATGTTCAGGCAGATCAGAGCAATAAAATTTATAGTTAAAAAATATAGAAAAAGAGATTTATATAAGTGGGGAACTATGCTCTATGCATGTTAATTCATCTTCTATATAGTTTGTTATTATTAGCAAAAAATATAAATAAAATATTGCAAAAGATTTTGCATATTGAAAATCTTTCAAAATAAAAAAATTTTACAATATTGCAAAATAATTAAAAAATTTTCACAATATTGTGAATTATTAGCAAATTTTTACAATAATATGAAATAATTAGCAAATTTTTGCAATAATGTGAAATAATTAGAAAATTTTTGCAATAATGTGAAATAATTAGAAAATTTTTACAATAATGTGAAATATTGTAATCAGAAAATTTTGACAATAATGCAAAATAATCAAAAAAATTTCACAATATTACGAAATAAATAAAAATTCTACTATTACAAAATTAAAAAAATTTCAAAACTATTTATTAATTTATTTAATTTTTAATTATTATTTATTAAATATAATTTTTATTTAATTTTTATTAAATAATAATTATATAATAATTATATAATAAAAAAAAACTATTTTATATATCCTGGTCCCTATTAAACCTTCTTGGCAAAGCACAAAACCTACCAACAACACAAAAAATCAAAAAAAAAACAAAAAAAGTGAACTAGTACTTAATTTATACTAGTTCCAAGTTCAAGATCCTGATCCCGGTTACCATTAACTCTTCTCAGTGAAGCACAAAACCTAAAGAAAAAGAAAGCAAAAATTAGTAAAAGACAAAAAAAAATAAAAAAACTAAAAAAAAGTAAACTGGTACTTATCATTATACTAGTTTCAGGTTTAAGATCTCAATCCTGACTCCCATTACCTCTTTCTAGCGAAAGCACAAGACCTAAAGAAAAAGAAAACAAGAATTAGTATTAGTAAAAGACAAAAAAAAAATGAAAAAACAAAAAAAAGTGAACTGGTACTTATCTTTATATCAGTTCCAGATTCAAGATCCCAATTTCAGCCCCCATTAACCCTTTCTGGCAAAGCACAAAACCTAAAGAAAAAAAAAGCAATAATTAGTAAAAAACAAAAAAAAACAAAAAAAAACAAAAAAAAGTAAACTGGTATTTATTTTTGTATCAGTTCTAGATTCATGATTCTGATCCTGGCCCCCATTAACCCTTTCTGGTGAAGCACAAAACCTAAAGAAAAAAAAAACAAGAATTAGTATTAGTAAAAGACAAAAAAAAATAAAAAACAAAAAAAAAATGAACTGGTACTTATCTTTGTACCAGTTCTAGGTTCAAAATTCTGATCCCAGCTCCAATTAACCCTTCTTACGAAGCACAAGACTTAAAGAAAAAGAAAACAAGAATTAGTATTAGTAAAAGATAAAAAAAACAAAAAAAAACAAAAAAAAAGCGAACTGGTACTTATTTTTGTACCAGTTCTAGGTTTAAGATCCTGATTCCAGCTTCTATTAATCCTTCTCAGCGAAGCACAAAATCTAAAGAAAAAGAAAACAAGAATTAGTATTAGTAAAAACAAAAAAAAACAAAAAAACAAAAAAAAAACAAACTGGTACTTATCTTTGTACCAGTTGCAGATTCAAAATCCCAATTTTGGCTCCCATTAACCCTTTTCTGCAAAGCATAAAACCTAAAGAAAAAGAAAGCAATAATTAGTAAAAGACAAAAAAAAACAAAAAAAACAAAAAAAAGTGAACTGATACTTATCTTTGTACCAGTTCTAGATTCAAGATCCTGATTCTGACTCCCATTAACTCTTCCTGGCAAAGCACAAAACCTAAAGAAAAAGAAAGCAAGAATTAGTATTAGTAAAAGCAAAAAAAAATAAAAAAAAACAAAAAAAAGTGAACTGGTACTTATCTTTGTACTAGTTGCAAATTCAAGATCCCAATCCTGGCCCCTATTAACCCTTCTTGGTGAAGCACAAAACCTAAAAAAAAAGAAAGCAATAATGAGTAAAAAACAAAAAAAAACAAAAAAAAGTAAGCTGATACTTATCTTTGTACCAGTTCTAGGTTCAAGATTCCGATTCTAACCTCCATTAACCTTTCCGTGAAGCACAAAACCTAAAAAAAAAGAAAACAAAAATTAGTATTAGTAAAAGCAAAAAAAAAACAAAAAAACAAAAAAAAAACAAACTGGTACTTATCTTTGTACCAGTTGCAGATTTAAGATCCCGATTCTAGCTTTATTAACCCTTTTTAGCAAAGCACAAGACTACAAAAAAGAAAACATTAGTAATATCAAAAAAAAAGAAAAACAAAATAAAGTTAACTGGTACTTATCTTGGCACCAGTTCCTGGTTCAAAAGACATTAGTAAAAAAAAATGAAAATATAAAAAAGGAAAAATAAATAATAAATAAAAAATTCAAAAATCAAAAAAAAATAAGATTAAAAAAAATAAAAAAGAAAATTCGAAGATTAAAAAAAATAAAGAAAAAAAAATAAAGAAAAAAAAAATAAAAAATAAAATAAAAAAAAAAAAAAAAATAAAAAATAAAAAAATAAAAAAAAAATAAAAAAAAAAA